GAATAATGACATTTTAAAGGAGAGACTAGTGTGTTCAATTTGAGGAATCTCAGCTCTGTAGCCATTATTGATTTTTATTTTTAAGTACATCTCTGGGTGTGGGATGTATCTCAGGGTCATGACATGCACCTGGCAAAGGCAAGCTGATGAGTTTGATTCCAAATAATAAAATGAAATACTATGTTTCTTTGGTATAATTGAACAACTCCCCTACCCCAAGAAATGTATAATTTGGGGGCCAGCCAAATAGCTCAGCAGATTAAAACGCCTGCTTAGGCAGATGCAGGGGCGGGGAGTTCGATCCCCTGGCCTGCCGTGCCATCCCCACCCCTGGAGCTCACTGAGAGGGCAATTGAAACTGGGCATGGTGGCATGCACCTGTAATCCCAGCACTTGGGAGGCTGTAAACAGGTAGATCACTACGAGTCCAATCTTCACAGTGAGACCCTGTACACTCTGTACATCCTGTACACCCTGTCCTAAATACAAAAAAAAAGTATAATTTGCTATTGTGTGGATCTGGTCACATGCCTTGACTCTTTGAGGACCAGGCACATGGTGAGCATTTGCAGAACTCCAGATCTAAGCAGCAGTGGTTTTGGGATCCTGGAAGAGCTGAGCTGAACCCGTCATCCAGATAGTTCTTTCATCAAGGGACACCTTGTGCTCACTCAGCCACTGATGTTTCAAGAAAAAGCCATTGCTCCAAAACAGCAAGGGGCCAGGGAGATAGCTTGGTGGTCTAAGCACCTGCTTGGCAAGTACAGGGACCTGGGTTTAATCCCCAGTACCACATGTTGTGCCATTCTGACACCGAGCTGGCCACCAAAACCGGGCATGGTGGCTCATGCCTGTAATCCCAGCACTGGAGAGGCTGAAACAGAGTAACTGTGAGTCTGAGCTGTGTAGTAAGACCCTGTACCAAATAACAAACTACTTTAGGTTTCCTCTTATATTAAAGAGAATTATTGTCCAAAAACTGGGTTGTACACATTTTGAATTTAAAATGCACAGTACACAATATTTCCTTCAAGAACGTCCTCCCCCTCTCCTGGTAAAACTACTGCATTCAGGATTGTCCTTCCTCAGCTGCTTAGCTTACTTGGTCACATTAAGAAAGCATAAGTAAATCGAAATCCACAATTGGATTACATCATCGGAGTTAACTAAAAGCTGCTTGAGAGGCTTAGGGTGGCTGTGAAATTCAGAACCCTGTGGGAGAAGTTCAACAGGCAGGACTCATTGCCTGGGACGGCCTTGAATCTCTTGGTGCAGCGGCTAACAGCACAGCAGAATCACTCTTGCCCCTGCCTCTATCCCAAGTAGCTTGGTAGGGCCAAAGCACACAACTTCCTATGTTTGGGCTAATGCTTATGCAGAAAAGAAAGAAATCCAGACAAGCTCTGGCCTCCCTGCTGCTTAAAAAGCTAAATTTAGGGCCAAGGATATGGCTTAGTGGCACAAGTTCCTGCCTGACAGGCACAAGATCCTGACTTCAATTCCTGGTACCAAAAAAACTGAGTTTAAAAACTGGAATCTTTATTTGTTTAGTTGTCTTCTACCTAGATTAGAAAGTTTAATTTTACCACTGTCCTTATTCACAAATGCACATGTACTTTTGCAAGTTTACCTAAAGGAATCTGTTCCTGTTTGTCCATCTTCCGTTGTGAAGGAATGTGACTGTTAGTTTTTTCTAGGTGGTTTTTTT